GGAGGTGGCAGTTCTGGTCCTTACTGAGGAAGACAGAGGCAAAGAAGTTATTAAATATGTTGGCTTTGTCGTCTGGTGTGACAACCAGATTCCCTGTCTTGTCCTGCAAGGGCCCTTAGTTCCCTCTTGTGGTACTGCCCATCGTTGTCAATTGTGTTGCTATTCTGATTCAAGATGATGACTTGATTGCCCAGCTTTTTATGCCTCCTGAGTGAAAAACGCTTGAAGAACGTTGAGGACTTAATGGATCCTCTCCGCCAAGTATCCATGGTGAGATGAGGAAAGGTAGATCAGTCTCAGGACTCTAATGGAACGATTAGCGAAAACCCAGTCAGGAACAGTCTCCTACCTTCCAACTCTGGTAGCTGGAAGGTAAAGAAATCAAAAGAGGCTGGTATTATAGGAAATACAAATTCATCCCTACCACATCCTTATGGTAAGGTGTCAGTAGCCCATTTTCTTTATATGGAAATTTACCTTTTTAGTATAGAAAGGAATGTGGGATCTGTGTGTATTGATCTGTGCTGCAGATCTAAACTAATGAAGAGCAGTAAGGGGAGGCAGTCATAATGAAAACAAATTCACCCAACATCTAGAACAAAAGGGCACTTGATGCCATGGTAACCAGGCACTTTCATGGTGAAAGGCACAATACAAAAACTGCACTAGGTGGATAGGAAGGGGAGCCATTAGCCCATTCACACTGAGGACAGTGAAAGAAATAGCTGGAGAGGAATTTGAAATGAGCAAACATTAGAAAAAATGAATTTAGAACAGGGACTTACCTTGTATTGGAGCAGGGCAGAGTTGGGCAGGTAGAAAGGAGAGGTAGCTGAAGCACTTGGTACAGAGAACCACACTAGACACTGCTTGTGTGTTAGCAGCAGCAACTCCAGGCAGGGCTAAGTTGGTTTGGAAATGGCTGTTAAAATCCACCAAATCTCTTTCTCTTCATCTCTCTTCTCTTCCGTCTCTTGTCACTGCTTCCCAGGCTGCAGTTCCTTGTGCATATGTATTTGTTTTGAGCCAAGCCCTTGCTGAGTCAGCCACGTCAGAAACTGGGTTTTACACTATTGGTAATTGCCAGGATTGCAGGAAGTAGGTGTGCAGAGTGGTGAAGCATCAGCCCACACTGCCTGAGAAGGCAAGATTCCTGAGAGGCACTTGAATTGAGGGACCTGTCAACATGATTTTTTTCCCTCCAGCAGCACTTTGATTCTCCCTCTATAGCTCTACCTAAAGATATTTCTGACAGAGCTGGCTGTGTCACTGAGATCCACAGATGGAGGGGAAGGGTTGTGCCTCTTATTTTTAACACTAGAATGCGAGGTAGAGATAAACACATTCTGGTATTGGTGACTCACATGCAAGAGCCTCGTGCTGGCTAATTAATCAAGCCAGGCAGATGGCAAAAAGGAATCTGTGCTCATTGGAGAAGGGCTTCAGGTTTAGCTGGGAAGCATCCTAGTTTATCTGCAGACAGTTGGTTTTATTTGGCCCAAGTATGGCCTGTCTTAGGTATTAACTACATCCTTGCTGTTGTCTCATGGTATCAAAAGGTTATTAATACATCTACTTGCTAAGATACTGCTTACAGTGTAACATCCTCCAAGCTTCCCATTCTGAGAGTTCAGTTAGTTGTGAGATTCTGTATCCTCCTGGTATCTCATATTATCCCTCAGCTAGAGGAGCCTCCTTCCTGGGATGTGATGGGGAATTCACACCTGCTGACTTTCTTGCAGGTGCCTAGTTTTGCTTTAAGAGGTTTTTCATGCCTTGCTGTCATAGCCACATTCAGTATTGGTTTGGACAGCTTTGAATATATCTGATAAAGGTGAAATTTCCTCTCTTCATTTTCAGTTTCTTTTTTGTCAGGAAGGCTTTTTACCTTTTGAGCATCAAGTGAAGAAGACAAATGTCTCAAAGCTTTGCAGTATCTTGAATAAATCTTGAAGTGAGGGGGGCAATATTTATACTAAAGATTCTGCACTGAACCTTGGACTTAAATACTGAGGCTTGAGTTATCATCACTAGAGTGGTTCCTCACTGTTAATACAAATGTGTTTTTGTCAGAAAAGCAAAGGATTCTCAAACACATGGGAGCAGATCTGGCAGGTACTAATTTTATAGTCACTTCTGAGTAAACACGCTTTAGGGAGGCTTACATTTTACAGTGGTTTTTGGTTCTGTAACTGGCAAGATATACGCAAGACTGCACCAGGGTTTTAATTGCATGGTATGCTTGGCATCAGATGCTAATGATGCTATAGAACTTGAATGAGTTACACAGTGTGCTTTTATTGTACTTGGACAGTATTTGAAATGGCAAGAGTTTAATTCTTGAGGGAAGGCTGTCTCAGAAATGCAGCAAAAGAAGAGTGTCTTTTAGCATACCAGATTTACTTTGAAATGGTTTGTACTTCTGTGACCAAGAACAATAAATCCAGCATTAGCAGTAAAAACTTGAGTGAAGAACAGAAAACAAATATCACTGTGAAAGATGCCATTAATTCAGAATACCTTACATCTGAAATAGTTTTCCTTTGCTTGAAGGAAACTGAAAGAGAAGACTCCTTCATTTAGTCCCTTTGTATATTAGACAGTATGTTGTACATTATCACTTTCAGTTGGTTGTGTGAATCTTCTGTGTAGAAGAACCACATAAAACTAAGAAAATGGAGCAAGGGGCAGGCATAAATATTGACCAGATAAAGTCAACCATGCCCCTTTAAGACACCATCATAATGTACCAGCCTAGTGCATTGTTTCTTTCTGTTTGTTTAAAAGTGTTGCAATGGTTGTGAATTTGCTGAATTCCAGTGTGTTTAAGTCCTTCCTCACATTTGGCAGAAGTGATAGCAATACAAGCTTCTCTATGCCACCCCACCAAGCCTTGCCTTGACATGGTGGGACAGGCTGTAGAACCTGGGAGGAGGGGATGGGAAGAGGGAAGGAAAAGGAGTTAATCTCCATACGCTGTTCCAGCCTTTTCTCTGCTGCTGTTGCCAGTGAGGATATCCATCATAGTGCAGACACTTGTCTGTTGGCTACTTCCAGTAGCAAATTTCTCTTCTAACCTGATGTGGGGCATAGCTCTGTTAGTCTATTGCCCTAGTGGTGCTGGAATAACAGCTGTAGACCTTTCCATTCAAAATGTCATAGGGGTGTCTCATGGAATAATGAGGAGGATTTCTGGGAATCATAAGCCTGGGATATAGGATGGTTTTGACCACCTAGGTCCTCTCTCACTCTCATTCTGTAGGGTTCTGTGCTCTCGGAGCGGGATTACGAAAGCTTGGTGATGATGCGGATGCGCCAAGCAGCCGAGAGACAGCACCTGATTGAGCAGCTCCAGCGGGAAGATGAAGAAGAGTCTCATACCTAGCATGGGGAAGTAGTTCCCTGCCCCTGCCCCCCCACCCTGTTCCACCTTCCTCTTCCTGACCCCTACTCTTCATTAAAAAAATGTTTTCTTAATTTAAATCAATAAACCTTGTTTTTTAAGAAAAATGGCTATAGGAATCTTTTCTTGGGGCAGGGCTGAAGGCATACTACTTTTCAAGCCTGCACAGCTCTCACATAACTTCTTCCCTTGTCAGGAAAAGGCAGAAGAACAGATATCATTTAGTCTTTTTTTTTTATGGTAGCTGCACCATAGCTGATGACCTAATTTTTGAGGTACCAGCTGAAAGGACTCCAAGACATTGTGGCTGCTTGAGGTCAAGATTAGGTCTGGGAATTTCACATGGGAAGTAAGTGTTTAGGTAACTTTTTCACTGACACAGCTGTGACAATTCAGAGTGGCCCATGGAAAGGAGTCAGGCTGTTTACATTACCTTTTTATTAGTTTTATTAGTTTATCACCTACAGCAGTAGTTGATCATACATACAGCTTAAGTCAATGTATCAGTGACCTGCAGTTGGTAAGATTACATAGCCAATACATGAAATATTCACAGGGCCTTATTTCAATGATATACTGCCCAAGGATATTTCTGCAGTTTTCCACTTATGCTGGAATGGTTCTTTTGGGGATGACAGGGTCTGACCACAGAAACCTTAATTAGGGGTGCACCGATATTTCAGTCGGCTATCTATCTGATAGGCACCAATAAAAGGAGAAATGACATTATTAGCTATTGGCTTTTTTGGTCATTGTAGCCGATAATTATGGTCACGTGCCTGGAGTACCGTGGTAAGCGTAGTCCAGGCTTCGCATCCTGCTGCCAGCCTGAGCCCACAACAGACTACAGGTCCTGGCAAGCAGCAGGAGTAGGTGCTTGGGGAGTGGTTACAGGTTACTGCACTCAGCAACAAAGGAACCATTACTGGCTCCTGCTGCTGCTGCCACTGCTGTGGCAACCCCGTGCACACAGCAGGGGCCTGAGCACTGGGGCTGCCATAGAGATGTTGGGCTGTGCACAGGCTGGGTAAGATGTCACGCGAGGGACATTCTGCTGCACTGGGCAATGGGCTCCTTTGGAAAAGTGGCTTCTCCCCAGTGGCCGCAGGAGCTCAGCTGCATTGGGCCCACCAGCTCTGAGGCAGTGGCATGCTCTGGGCCTCCAAACACACCTGGTGCTACTGTCCATGCAAGGATCCATCCCCCCACACCTGGGCTGTGCAGGAAGCGGGGCTGTGGGCAACACGTGGGAATAAAGTGGTTACTACTTTCCTCAGCAAGGGCTGGAGCAGGCAGAAGGCACGTGCCTGCATTCATGCATGTGTTAAATAAACCTTTTTTTTGTTTTTGCATTTATGTCAGTAGTTTAAAATGGCTTTCACTGTTACTAAAGATTGATTATCAGATCAGCATCAGCTGATACGGTTAGTTAATCATCGGCTATCGGTATCAGCCGAGAAAATCTTTATCGGTGCATCCCTAACCTTAATCTTAGGAGTGGGGGGGACATGCCCAAGGAGAGGTTTTCCTCAAACAGCAGCAACAGGGGTATTGTTTGGCCTCTTGTTTTGACTGTTCCGGGGACTGTGTAACAAGTGGCCCATGCTTGGCCCACCCCTATGCGTGGTCTCCTAAGCAAGAAGCTTAGTACTCCATGCTCCACAGAGACAAAGTCAGGACTTGACCTCACTCAAACACTTGCATAGGACAAGATTAACACTGTAAACGTGTTCCAGAGTACCACCGAGACTGATGCAGTTTGGGGCCATTCATTCTCCATGTATGACTTATCCTCAGAACTGAATGGGCAAACCTACCTCTCCTTGGGACTCATGTAATGGCATTGATGGCAGTTTTCCATTATGTGAAGTTTTGACTATGCAGCACTTCCCCTGAGCGTGGCTGGAAACTGGGACATAGAGGAGATTCTCACTGGGGAAGCTCACTTCTAGGCTGTAATTTTACGGGATCAACATTGATGTCTTGCCCCGATGGAACTTTGTTGTCTTCTTTATGCAGACACCAGACCAGTGTCTGCCCCACCCCAGTCATGCTGACCACTCGATAGCCATAGTTCTCCAGCTTGTCCAACACGATCCGGGGTGCATCATTTACATAATACTCCCAGCTGCAGCCAAACAAGAGGGAAAGAAACAAAGGTGAGGAAGGAAGAGGCACAACTTTGCTTGCCAGAGGGACCCTGTAATTCTGGCAACACCTTCTAAACCCATGCAAAACCCCGGTGTCCCCACACTGGCATAAAACCCAGCAAGTATGTAATGTCTTATCATATTAGACAAGCTAATAACCACAAGTTCCAAACTGAGGAGAAAGTTTGCCAGGAACTAAAAGCTGTCTAAAATTTGGAGTGTGGTTCAAAGATTAATCATCTAAAGCCATGGGTCACTAGCTTCATCAAATGGGCAGCTGAACTCCCCACTGTCTCCACTTTGGGCTTCATCAAAAAAAATACCTCTGAATCTTCACCTTATTGGAAAGTGCATGTGCATATATAATTATGAACAGAGCTGGGCAATTTAGGCTACCTGTCATTTCCCATTACTAGACTTTATTTCCAGTTGCTAATAGCTGATTATTGAGGCCAAAGCTTTTTCATGCAGAGCACCTAGCTGGCTGGATTGCTTAGGAACATTTCAGTACAAATGAGTCAGGCGTTTCCAAGGTGATGAGAGATATTTTTTGCTCATGTTAAACATTTTTACAGTTTACTTGAAACCCTGCTACCTGCCACCTCTCCCCACACCCATGCTCTGGAACAAGTGCTTACCATTTATCAAGGATGAGCTTTTGCTATCCTTGTGAAGAGGATCCCAAATTCAGCTGTGTTAGGCCTTTCAAAAATCAAGTTCACTTTAGCTCAATGCATACTTGTTAGATAAATAAGCTGAGGGCTGAACTGGAGTTACCTTCATTTATATTCTCCAGACTGCTGTGAGGTTGGTTAGAGGACCCAAGAGCCATGTGACTGTTCTCCATGCTGGCCCCCAGGCAGCATGGAGGTGGAAGTAGCCTGACCTGAATGCACATGGAAGACAAGAGACAGACCGGTGGGGGGAGGAAGAGAAGGGAGTGGCTACATGTGAAAACTGGGATAAAGAGATAGACTGGAGCTGGAAATAGAGATAGGGAGACTGAGATTAAACACAGGCCTGAAGGAACTGGCACTAACTGGCTGGTCCAAGCTGCACTGAATCACAGTCTTCTCACACACACAAAGGGGCTAAATCATGGTTGTATATGGAAGCTTACCAACTTAGAACACACTTGACTTTGAAACCTTAAATGTTTCTTTAATGTCATTTTTTGGGTATAATTTGTGCATTTTAATAAGCTTTCTAGCTTGGGTATGACTCATACCACCAGACAAGCTGATAATAACTTTGGATGTGGGAGCAGAGTTAAAACTGTACTGAGCCTTGGCCATACATTTTCTGACTTTCAGTTATTAACATAATGCATGTTCTGGGCTATAGTTGTGCCCAAAGAAATTTCCAGACAGAACTGTTATAGTTCAGGTAGCAAAGCATTACTAGTGGGGTAGTTATTTTTAATATATGCAATAATGCTGAGATGCAAAAGTCTGCTGAAGACATTTTTGTTTCTGAGATACATTATAATTTGCTGTAATTATAGATGAGGTGCAAAGATAATATGTATTATTATAGCTGGCTATGAACTTAGTGCTTTTAAAGAGGCTTCCCATGTGCAGTTTCAGCTCACATGTTCCCAATATGCAGAGGAGGTGACTGAGGCAGAGATGGCTTGTAACTTGCTGAAGCCTACGAAAATTGGTAGATTAGGTAGGATCAGGGCTTCCATTGATTCTTTAATCACAAGAACCACATAGTATTTGTAGCAAATATTCAACCCTTAGTGTTTCACAGCCTGTTTTGGTAAGGATTGTCTGTTTGGAGTTTGTAAACTCTCTCTCCTGGCTAAAAGCCGGCAGAGATCATTTCACCTGGTGTCTGTAAAACAAACCTTGATCTTATAAATTAGTTATGTTAATTTACATTATCCACTCTGCCTTCCAAAAAATCCCACTGAAAGGCATGCCTCAATTATACAATGAACCAGGGATTCGAACCTAAACAAGCCCAGGCTTGAGGGGAAGAAAGAATAAGAGCAGTGCAGTCCCAAGATCTGCCCTTTAGGATACTAAAGTGAGACAAGTCCCAGTGGTTGGTTTGTGCAGATGTTTAAAATATCACCAATACTCTACTGGGCCCCTCAGGCTTGCAGCTTGGTTATGCCCAAGGCCAGGGCTACATTAATGCATCAAGATACACACAAAAGCAGAATATCTGCCTTCGCTTAAAAAAAAAAAAACCTACAACAAAAAAAAACAAAACCCAACTTGCTACACCTTGCCATTATCGGAAAGCCTAGTGGCGTGACCACTTGTAACCAATGCTTGAATGTGTTCTTTGCATGCAGTTGGAAAAGCAGCAGTCACAGAAGTGAGGGAGAAAGCTGTTTGTCCCCATACTCATCACCAAAGACTAGGCTCCTGCATGCTGGGGATGATACTTAGATGTTCCCAGAGATCTGCCTCTACAGGCCTGCTGTGGGTAGCAGTGATACTTCCCCACACACTGTCCATTTGAGATCTACCCTCCCAAATGGTATGCCATTCACACCAGCATAATAGGACTGCTTATAAGAAAGGAGAGGGACAATCAAATAGTTAATCTGAATGTTGTGTTAGAGAATTGAGAGGTATCACCCCAATGAAGGCAGTTCACACCCTCAGAACATTCATCTCAGGTCTTCTGCAAGCTCTGACAGATATCAAAAGGCAGCAGGCTGGAATGTGTTGTTCAGGCTTACAACTTAAATATAGGATTGATTTTGTGGATCTCTTACAGAGCAAAACTCTGTTTTACAGGCTTGGTGGACTGATAATCCTGTGGGCCCCGAGTGCAACTAAAAGACCCTTCATTTTTCTTGGAGAAAAGCTTTGCTCTTCAAGCAGAGTTTCAGCCTGCTCCAAACTGGTTCCACGGGGCCATCCCTCTGGAATGCAGTAGTCTGCCTCTGGGCACACCTAGATGTGTTCCAAGGAGTTATTGTCTTTGGGTTCTCCTCCTCCTCTTGCTCAATCAAACCCTAAAACACAGGCAACACAGAGCTGCTGCTTTTTGCTAAAGCAGGAAGGTAAATTATCCTGCATCCATCCAATCCATGCTACCTATCAAGCAGGCAGGGTGATAATTGCCTTTGCCTCCAAGCAAAGGCAAAGGCAAAATCAAAAGCTGTAGGGAAGAAGGTGGATCCATCACCTGCATCGACCACCAGGGCAGCTCACCACTGGAAAGCGCCCATCTCTGCTACCCCAGCTGTTGGTATTTCTAGAAGGATGCTGTAAGACAAGCACACTTTGGGGTTTAACTTTTGGCAGCAGCTTCCCAATTGCAGGTGTCTTACCATTCTGAAGGTCCTCCCCAGCTGTTGGAAGCCAGAAGGATTTTTTCTCTTTCTAAACCATTGCTGCTGCTTTAAGGTTGAAGCATCTCTCTACTTCATCCTTCCACAAACCTCCTTTTTTTCTTAGGATCCTCTGTCCCCATGCATAATTCAGCCGTCTGCCCCTCAGCTTCACAGGCACCAGCCTGAAACTGACATTCATGACAATTTCACTGCCACCCACATGGTTCAGAATAGCAGCTGTAAAAACCAATCAGAGTCTGGTAAAATCCACTATCTTGCTGCTAGGCACAGTTATGATTGGCAGAAGTGATCCTAGAACAATCTGCCGGCAGATGCTGGATGGACCACACGTTGGGAAGGTCCTCTCTTTTTAAGGGTCTGAAACCTCCCCTTCCCCAATTGCAAGTTTGCATTCTGCAGAACCGATTCGGTTTCAGGTTTGCCAGCGTGGGAGCAAGTGGGCTTTTTGGAGCTGCACTGACAATCTGTAAAGTTGCAGCTTGCAGGGTGGAATTGAGAAGAGCTCCTTCTGTTTGACGCCTCTCCCTCCTCCCACGCCTCCTCTACTCAAAGATGTACATGGGCTCCATTCAACAGAAGTCTAACTGCTTCCCCTCTGCTGTTTTAATTATTTTTTTCAAAGAGGAAGAAGTGGCTGAGAGCTCTGGTGAAAGTGGAAGCAGCACATCAATAACACTTTGCAAGTCATACTAAAATGGGAGCAGGTGTCAACCTCAGGGTGGGCAATCAAGGTACATAGGAACCAAGAGATATCAGAAACACGGACAGAGAAGAGCACTGAAAGACTCCACCTAGAAAAATGTAAAATTCATACACCTGGGAGAACAGTATCCAGCACACACTCAGGGTCCAAGCAAAGGCTCAGGAAGCCAAAACAGGCTTTTGTTGAGATCAGTGGGCACTGGGTCAGGTACTCAATAAAAAGGAGAAACCTGGACACCAGCAACCATGGGGTGATGATGGATAAATGGAATTACAGAATCACAGAGCTGGAAGGAACCTCAAGTCTATCCCTGAAGAAATCTCCTTCACTAGGGTTTTACAACTTCTTTAGGCAGCTTATTCCATTATCCCATTCTTCATAGAATAGTTAAGAAGGTTCTCCTGGGGTTCAATCCAAATGGGCTTTTCTTCAGTTTAAATCCACTGCCTCCTGTCCCATCTTCCATGACAAGGGAAAAGAATTTCCTCTCCTCCCATGCCCTCCTCCCAGCTCTTTTTATGACAGCCTTTCAAAGATCTGAAAACTGACACTGTGTTCCCTAAGAACTGCCTGGCTGCCAGCTTGCAGTGTTACTTGGCAGCAAGAAGAGCCAGGAACTGAACTAGAGAACTGGGGGTGACAGGCAATAGCTGTGCAACTCAGGGGACACTGCATCTGGTATTGTGTTCATGAGTGGATACTTCCATACTGGAAGTGCTATTTACCAAGAGGAACTTCAGATAAAAGCAAGAAAACAACTGGGGAGACATCGACAGATGCACTCATTTATAGGAAGGATCAAAAAAAAAAAAAAAAACACAATACCCTACTTGAGCTCCAGAGGGCATGCACCATGATACCAGCCTGTAAGTATTTGAAGAATGGGAACAGTGGAGATGTAGGGGGGTTATATACACAGTGGGTGTATAATTAGAGATAAGGGAAAGGTCTCAACTCAGTGTCAGGAAATGCTTCCTGCTGGTGAGATCCAATAGACAGACAGGGACTTGCTGTGCAATCTTGGACACACTCCCTTCCTTTGCTTCAGTTTCACTGTCTACATAAATACTTGTGAGGTGCTCTGACCTCTCCAAAGCTCTACAAGTGAAAAAGCTGGATACCATTACTAGACTTCAACAGGAAACTTCAAGCAACCATTATTGGCAAATATGCTGAGAATGGTTCTCAATTAAGGACACATGCACATCCTACCCCAGGTGAAATCCCACTGGATGGTGACGGTAACCAGCCTTTAATGGATGAGGCAGTATATGGTCTGTTCACAGTGAGCAGCCTGGAGCTCCCACATACTAGCCCCAGCCTCTGATGTAGGCAGTAACTTAACCCCCTTAGTGCCTCAACTTCCCCATCTGCCAAAAGCACTTCAGCTCATACTGACTGCAAGTATTTGAAGACTGCTATCATGTCCCTTCTGAAGTGCCTTTTCCACAAGCTGAACATGCCTAGCTCCATCAGTCTCTCCTTCAGCCTTTCAGTCCCTCCAAATGAGACCTAACCAAGTAGAGAGGCATTATCACTCCCTGTGTCTTGCAATTAACGCTTCAACTGATACAGCCCAAAAAAAAAAAAAAAAAAAAAATCACATTCACCTTCTGTGTGGCTTCACCATGCTGGAGACTCATATTGAGTCTGTGATCTTCCAAGACTCTCAAGTCCTTTTCCATCGTGCTGCCATCTAGTCAGGTATCACCCATTTTATATCTGTGTTTTTGATTATTCCTCCTAAGGTGTACCATTTTGCATTTGTCCACACTGAACTTCATCCTACTAGATCTAACACAACTTTCCAATCTGTCAAGATCCTTCTGAATTGTGCTCACATCCTCCAACTTGTTCACGATTCTTCCCAGTTTCATGTAATCTGCAAACTTGCTCAAGAAGCTTTGTATGCCAACATTCAAATAATTAATGAACAGGTTGAACAGCAGCAGGCCCAGAACAGACCCCTGTGGAATTCCAATCAAAACCTCTTACCATTCTGATGTGGAGCCATTAATAACTATCCTTTGCTTGCAGCTACTGAGCCAAATATTTGTCAACACTGTACTTAAGCTTCCAGGGATGGAGATAAAAGACTGCTGTAATTCAAGAAGCTCAAACCCTGGATCAAAGGCCAGATCCAGCCCCCGGTACCAGGTCATCTGGCCTACGGGGCTCCCCATGGGTCCAAAAATTTGGCAGCAGGGAGAGCAATGAAATTGGCCCCAAGCCACTCATTTGGTCCACAGGGCCAAAAGATTGACCATTGATCTACCAATACCATTAGAGGTGCACTGATACATCAGTCCATGTCATATCAGAACCAATAAAAGGAAAATTGACATTACCAGCAATAGTCTTTTTTTGGCCAATGTGGCCGATAAGGTCACCAATAAATGCCACGTGCATGCATGCAACTGCAGCATGTACACGGCCAGGAATGTAGCCCAGCACCGTGGAGAACAGAATCTGGAAGGTACCTTTGTGTGGGAGAAGGGGAGTAGGGGAGGGGCAGATCAAGGCCCCTGCAGTGAGAGAGGGAGTGGGGCTGGGGCAGGTGCTGCCCAGCCAGCACAGGGCAGGGCATGGGACAGAGTCCCAGGCAGCTCATCCAGGAGGGTGGGGAGGGGTGGCTCCCCCTGCTGCACACACCCCCAAGGGAGACATGGAGGGCTTGTGCCCCCTAAATGCATGTGCAGGGTGAGGGCAGGATGCCTGCCATGGGCTTGGGGCTGGGACTGTGCTTGGAATGTGTGACAGTGGTGCTGGGAGGGAGGTTACAGCAAATTTTGGGTGGCTGCAGCCCACCCTGTAACCTCCCAGCACCGCCTTCTGCCTGCCCACCCTGAGTGCAGCTCCGGCCCAGCCCCGCCACCAGGAAGAGGTTTCAGTGGGCAGCGCTCCCTTGCCCTGTGCACAAATCTGGGGGGATATGCTCCCCATACCTCCCCCAGAGTACACGCAGCAGTGGGATCCACCCCCCTCGAGACAAGCCACCTATGGCTCTGTTCCGCACCCCTGCCCTGTCCTTCCCCGGCTGGACAGCCCCTGCCCCACTCCCTAACTCACCACAGGGGCCTCAGTGTGCCTCCACCACACCCCTTCCCCCCCCCAGACTTACCAGCCAGACTTTCCAAGTTGTCAGGCTGCATATCAGCAATCAGATTGGTGTCAGCTGATATGGCTGGTTAATAATCAGCCAAAAAATGTTTATCGGTGCACCCCTAGTTGCCACAATTCATATTTAAAGGGACACTACTGAGTGCTCAAAGTACTCACTACTACAGTCACTGGAGTTCATCCTAGGGGCAAAAAAAACAGGCTATGGCAGCTACAAGCCCACAGCCCCCAAAGGGATTTGGAGCCCTAATCTAGTGCTGCAGACCTCATAGTCATTCTGCCAATGAAGATACATCCTCAATTATGGCAACCTCAGCAAAACAAGTTTGCCACTGGAATAACCAACTTGTAACAACTGGCACTGTATAACAAAGTGTTCTCTTAAGTTTGCCTGTATTTAGGACCCTCCTGCTAAACTTGCTCTGGTTTTATATTTTGCACCTCACAAGATGTTGGCTTTCACTTATCTAAACAAAATCAGTCATCTGAATAGTGGGTATTCTCCAGAGGATTTCTGAGAACTACGGATGTCCCATATTTCAGTTTTACCAGGAGGCTACACAGCACAACCAGGTCCCAAGCACTATCCTCTGAGCATGGTGACCCTGCACCAACAGGAGAGACACTGCACACAGGCAAGGCCCCGGTGAGAGTCTCAGGAAAAGAAAGCCTTGTAGTCTAGATCAAGGGATGGGTAAGTGCAGCAAGAGAGCTGGAGGCGGCAAGGAGAAGAATGGAGGAAAGCAGCAGGCCAGCGGTACTTACAAATGGTTCCCCAGCATGTTCCTCTTAGTGGCTCCCAGATAGTTCATCAGAGCCAGATCAGAATGCTCATCTCCCACCATCGTGGGGCCAACCTCCTGCAGAGGGAAATGGACAATTCAGCAGGTAAGAAAAAGTTCCCTAGGCCAGGTCTTCTTTTAGCCTTCCCCACACAGGACAGGTTAATCCAAGAAGAGAAAAAAAAAAAGGCAACATTATACCTCTAGGAGGGTGAACACACAGCTGTCATCCAGCTGGCTAGTGCTGAACCAAGGCCCCATGAGTGAATCCTTGCAGTGAGGCATTTGTAGTTAGTCAGAAAATTAACATTTGGGCAAAAGGAATTTTGGGGGAAGCATATTCCTTGCACTGGCTTGACAATTTTCATTCCTGAAGCCAGGCACAGGCTCTGGGTACAAAAGCAGCACATACAGGAAAGGAAACACTGGGAAGATGACAGGTGGCACGTGTCACAGCAGACAGGAAAGATAGCATGCACCAGACATGTCTTTATCTGATACTACTGACTATATAGTAGCCAAGCTCCAAGTGGTATTTAGCCCAATTACAGAGCCTGGCAACCAAAAAAGCAGTGGTGTTTGTGCACATGCAAAAAGCAAAGGTGGAAGGAAAGCCAATTCCTCTCCAAGTGGGAGTGTGAGCCTGAGGCATATTGTTCCAACAGAGCCCCCTGCTGGCTGAGCAAGGAAAGGCAGAGATGCATTTCATAAATAATCCATCCCTTTTAGAGGAATTCTTTGACTGCTAAACATCCTCTGGGGAGCGGAGAGGAAGAAGAGAGTTATCTGGACTGTCTGGCAGAAGTCAGGTACAGGGAAATGTCATGCTCCCTTTAAATACAAGGAAAGTAGGTGAGCCAGAGGGAAAGACAGAGGTACAAATGAGCTCAGTGCTTGCTTTGTATTAAAGAGCAGTTACACGATGCCACAGATACATAATTGTTATAAGACATTCCCTGCTCTAGAAAGCTCCCCAAACTAGACTAAGTACAGTGACGATACAGTAATATTGGGAGACTACACTGTAACACAGCACACTTGATGCTGTTAGAATGCATGTCAGTCTTAAAACATGGACAGGACCAACTAGGTTAAATCTCATTCCTGAACTGTACAATCACTTTGGATTTTTACAAGGCCATTACAACAAACTATATGGAGTATAACAAAGAGAGACTTTGTTCCTCTAAGCTGTAAGAGGCAACTGTGTTTTAATTTAACCATACCTGAAGGCAACTATTCTAGAAGAGAGTTCCAGCACAGCAGAAGCTACAGGCAGCAGACAGACTGGATTTGATAAAGCAGGATGCTGAAGCCTGAAGAATAATGACCTTCCTCAAATGCTTGATAATACTTCACCTACCTGTAGCATTTTCCATCCATGGAACTCAGGATGCTTTACAGACAATTTTTAAGTTTCAACACACACCTGCAGAGCAGCTAATTATCATGCTTCTTTTTTAAGGCAAGAGAACTGAGGAGCAACGCCTAACTGATCAGCATGAAGCCTGAGTCACAGTCCAGAGCAGCAGTCTCATTTCTTTACCTCTTGTTTTACAGTCTATTCTAAATGGTTACAACTGGGGAGGGAGGAGGCATATTGTACCCCGAGGAAGTCTTTACCACAAATTATGGCACTTTGTGCAGCTATTGCTACACCACTATAGGCAACAACAAAGCCCATCCTAACTATTGCAAAAGACTTAAGTGTTCATTGATGCCCAGCCAAAGGATTTTACTGCTCCAGACAAGTCTGGAAAAAACTGTTCTCCTCTATCCCAGACTGGGACAGTGGAATAAGCTGCTTCTCTGGTGGTTTTCAAGAAGAGGCTAGACAGGTATCTGTCTGGAATAGTTTAGGAGGAATGAGCCTTGCATCTCTGCAGGGCATTAAACTAGATGACTTCTGAGGTCCCTTCTAACCCTCTGAAAAAGAACTGGTTGCTATGGCAGACTTGATCGGGAGGAGGAAGCAGTACCTTTCAGCAATGGCCTTCTCTGGAGTCAGCAAGACTACAAAAAAACCAAAAACCAAACAAACTGGTGTCATTGCGGAGCCATTGGCACGGCTGTTCGAGGACTCCTGGTGCTCAGGCCAAGTCCCTGAGGACTGGAAAAGCGCCAATGTGGTCCCTATTTTCAAGAAGGGGAGGAAGGAAGAGCCTGGCAACTACAGGCCAGTCAGCCTCACTTCTATCCTGGGCAAGGTCTTTGAAAAAATTATCAAGGGCCACATTTGTGAGAGCCCTGCAGGGGAAGTGAAGTTGAGGTGTAACCAGCATGGGTTTGTGCAAGGCCGATCCTGCCTGATTAACCTGCTCTCCTTCTATGACCAGGTAACAAAGAGCTTAGATGGGAAGGAGGAAGTCAATGTCTTCTTCTTGGACTTCCAGAAGGCCTTCAACACAGTGTCTACCCAATTCTGGTGGGCAAGATGAGGGACTGCAGCATTGACAAATGCACAGTCACATGGGTGGCAAACTGGCTCCAGGAGCGCACCCAGAGGGTGGTGGTGGACGGGTCGATGTCAACCTGGGAGGGTGTGGGCAGCGGAGTCCCCCAGGGCTCAGTCCTTGGGCCGGTGCTGTTCAACACCTTCATTAGCGACCTGGATGAGGGTGTGGAGAGCACCCTGTTCGAGTAAGCTGATGAC